TACAAGCCCACCAGGGTTCAGTTGAGTATTTTAATCCGTATTTTCTTTAATACTGTGTTTCTTGGATTATAGGTGCTCTTTCCATTTTATTTCTCTGTTGGTCAGTGTACTTTCCATTTTTATTTACTCTCCATCTTTTGGAATTCTACAGATGTCCAGTAATAAAATCTCATAACTAATGTCCAAAGATTCATTTTATTTATTTATTTATTTATTTATTTACGTTTAAAGATTTTATTTATTTATTCGAGAGAGAGAGTGCACAATCGGGGGTAGGTAGAGGAACAAGCAGACTCAGCACAGAGAGCGGAATCCTCTGTTGGCCAATCTCACAACCCCAAGACCACAACCCTAGCCGAAATCAAAAGCTGGATGTGCAACCAACTGAGCTACCCAGGCACTCCCAAAGATTCATTTTGAAATTCTGACAAGTTTGTTTTTTGAAGTTTTGGTTAAAATTATCACTATCACTCTTATGTGAAACATTTTGTTTTTGTTTTTTTTAATGATCTCTTTTGCTTCTGTTTTCTACTTACCCCCATTTGAGGTCTCTTCTTATGATTGTATTCAGTTTCTCCCCAGCAGGCTCCTCCCTCTACTTTGCAAGAGGCTCAAACAAGTATTGATTCTAAAAAATATACATGTTAAACACCCAAGCTGTTCCAGGTTTGAGATAATTATCAAGGATTTAGTCAAGTAGATGGGTCTTATCTTTAAGAAAAAAAAAAAAATGTGTATTGTAAAACCAGGGTATTGAATTCTCACTTTCTAGCACTATCATTCTCTCCACATAGTGTTCTGCTTCTGCCAGCACTAAATTCAGTATTAGGCCTTTAAACTCTTACCATGAAGCTTCTACACCCACCACTTGGCTGAAAAGTGCTCTTTAAGGACACCAACTGCAAATCTATGGATTTGTTCTGTTTTCTTTCTTTCTTTTTTTTAAGATTTTATTTAGTTATTTGAGCGAGAGCGAGAGAAAGCACAAGCAGGGGGAGGGGCAGAGGGAGAGAGAGAAGCAAGCTCCCTAATGAGCAGGGAGCCCTACTCTGGGCTCAATTCCAGGACCCCCAGATCATGACCTGAGCCGAAGGCAGACGCTTAACCAAATGAGCTTCCAGGCGCCCCAGGTTTGTTCTGTTTTCATTCTCCTTCAACTTTCAATATTTTTCAGTGTATTGATTCAACTGGCTTTAAAATTTTCTTTTGCTTGTTTTCTTTGTTTCATGAATATCTTCTTTTCTTCTCTTTTCCTTAAATCAGCCATGTTGGCCAAACTATAAAAGATCTTCGACTGTCTACCAATTGTAATGACTCCAGGTCCTGCCTGTCCAAAACTTACCACTTCATGAACTTCTATTTCTAGCTTCCAGCTAAATAGTTCCCATATATTATGCCATATTACTTCAAAAGCGATGAGTCTTGTAAAAGCCCTTTGTACTTTAACAAATGTTAAGTCTTTCTTGAACATCTTCATTTCTGCCAAAAGCATCATTGATGTATTTGGCAACCAGACTGCAAACTGATGTCCACATTTAGGCTGGCATTCAGCCTCTTGCACCTAATTCCACTGTGTTCACTCTACTTTGTTTTCTTTCACTCTCCCCAAATATGCCATCTGTTTATCCTTGACAAGGATTGTCATTGTCCTCCAAGCATATCATATATATTTCTGTCTTTCAAATTTTTTGTAACTTTTCTATAACTCTTCATTATATGTTTAATTTATTGGCCAGCTCATTCATGGAAATTTATCTACCTACCCTAGTCCTTGATAATATAATCCCATCCCAAACAAAGTTAAGCACAAAGGGGACCGCTTTAAAGATACCCGATTCTAGGTTTAAATTAACCACTAATCTAGGTATGTATCCTTGGATAAATCTCCTAATCTCTATGAGCCTCATTACTTATGCACATAAAGAAGACCAAGTAAGATAATATGAGTAGAGTGCCTGTAACAGTAAAATAAATATTAGCTACATTAATATTATTATATTGCTCCTGACATTTTTCAAATGGTGCATTTTTTCATTTATTTCTGTCTTCACAATTAGGCATTAAAATATGAGACCAAAAACATCATAATATGAAATAACTTAAGCAGTTACCCTATGTAATAATACTCTGTAAATGTCATTTCCTTTCTAGTCACCTGTTTGCATACACAGTGTCCTGTAACAGCACTGTAGCTGGTCTTACGCCCTCCTCGCTGGCTGACTTAAGACCTAGCTGATCTGTAACAGAACTAATTTACTTTCTTTGAGATTTGCAGATCACTGGCCTTGGGGAATAAAGGACCAGAATGTTCCTAGGCCACAGGGGCCAGCATGTCTGTTTGAAGTCCCCTTACCTTTCTGATTAGCCCAGCAATCTTTTAGCAAAATGTTTTTCTTTTTTAAGGTTACACAAATGACTTTACTGACCTCCCTTTGTGCATCTGTAGACCTTGCCCCTCTTTGCAGAAAGAACAGAGTTCTCTTGCACAACCCCTGGGTATCAAAGAACCAGATCTTCTTGCACAACCCTCCCCCACCCCCACCCCAGGTACCAAGGAACTAGAACTTCTTGCACAACCTCCAAGCACTGAAATAACCCTATAGCTGACATTATTGAGTCTGCACTTAATCAGGTAATGTTACAGACCACTGCACTCCTTTACCTGATTAAACGTCTTTAAAAATCTCTGGGCCACACAAACCTGGGGAGTTGGCCTTTAGACAAGAACCCACCTTCTCCCCAGGTGGCCAGCCTCCTGAATAAAGCTCATATACCTTTCCAATCAAAACCTGTCTCTTGAGTATTGGCCTTTCTAGCAATGGGCAGCTGAACTTGGGTTTCAGTAACTGTCTGACAAATACAATCCGTGAGTTTCTGGTTTGTGTTTATGGTGATATTCGGATTACTGCTTAATTACGTCACTTCAAAGAGAAAAGATCTTTGTTTTCACTAGAAAACAATCCAGCACAAAACTAATAGGCCAAGGTTTTATTGGGATATACAATCTCAGGGTTGCAAAATTGAGGAGAAAAGGGAAAGTAGGTTAGGAAAGAGGGAAAGCAAATATCAGTTAGTACATTTGTGAGCTGTTCACAGCCTAACAGTCAAACACAATGGGTAGTTTAATAATGAGAAGTGTCTCCCAAACAGACCATGTGGAGCCCCACTGTGGCTCAGATCTGTCCATCAAGGGGATAAATGGGAAAAAATTATCTGCCAACACACCTTCTGTTTTCAGAATTCAAAATTTGTATCACTGCTTTATTTCTCTCTCCCTCTCTCTTCAAAATTGTGTTAGCCAGCTCTGCTTAGCCAGTCAATAATCCCACATTCTCGTTCAGTGAAACTTACCTTGTCTACTCAGGGGGCAGAAGTACCCCCTCCACTAGGACCCAGGATCTCTTGCCTAACAAATCCTGAAGTTGTAGAGAAGTAAAACACACATTCACAAGTGAGATACTGGGAGTAACAGTGAGAGAAGCTAATCCCAATTTTTTTTATACCCCTAACCCATGAATTCTAACAAGTGGGGATGCAGAATTAAATATCAGCATTGATTTAATGCATATACTGTATTTTGGAGTACCATACCCCAACCATGCTTGATGCTATGCCCAATGCTGGTGCTTTATCCAAGCCTTGGACATGCTGTTCTACCATTCTTCATGCCAGATATTTATAGGGGATATGGTAAGACCAATGAATCTCGTGTTCAGGAGCCCATCGTTGTATTGCCTTTGCCATAAAATAGGTTCCTTTTTTCTAAGGAAACTTTGTCAGTCATACTTTTGTCAGTCATACTGTATAACTGGATTAGGAATTCTCCAAGACACTGGATGGTGCTGAGGAGCCAAAGATGTAAACCTATGTCCAGAGCATGTGTCAACTCCAGAAATTATGACTGTCTGCTTCCTGCAATGTAGAAGTGGATCTATAATCCACTTTTCCACCAGATAGCTTGTCTTCTCCAAAGAATTGTGCCATATTAGGAATTAGCTATGATACAACTAGATCAGCTTTGTTGACCTGTGTATAATTTCTATCTTTGCTATCATGGTCATCTTTTTATGGGCCCACTGTAACACTGAGATGGCTAAGGAAAGAAGATAGCTCATGTCCATGGCATAAGTAATGTGTGTACCTGAATGTTGAAAGCCTCCTCTGCAATGGATGCTCCCTGCTGAGTATTCAAGAAAGATTCTTATTTTATAATCACTCCAGGGGTTTTACTGATAGAAGATTACTCCAACTATATTTGCCACTGATTTTTCCCTTTCAGGCTTCTCACCAACCAGTCAGGTTATTTGCCAGTGCTCAGAAGTCCATGTATGACTTATACCATCTCTCTCTCTTCATACAAAGTAGGCATCTAAGTATACTGTCCACAGCTTTGCTTATGAAAAATTTCATCACTGTCCTGGCTAGCACAGGGATTCCATGCCAACCCTTTTCTAAACTAACACTGAATTCTTTTCCTTTTCATAAATGCCTTTGTAAGGAAGCTCTGAGGCCATATGCATGAGTTGAGAAATAGGCATGCAATTATTAGTGCCTTTTAACCTCCTCGAGCCTGGTTTAAGTTCAACGCTTCCATTGGAAATTTGCACTCTTCAATGGATGGTTTCTATGATTACTTCTCACTACCATCCAGTGGACTTAGTAACACCAAAACAATTTTCATAATCCCTGGATATTCCATGGTTAAATCCTCGGTCATCACTTGAGCCCAACAGTGTTCCAAGAGTTGTTTTTTCGAACAGAGAACAATTCTTGATTGCAGTGGGTGGTCTTGGTACAGTCCTTTAGAAGCTGGAACCATGATTTTATCACTGAGACTTGACAGACTCTCTTCCCAACATTCTTTTTTTTTTTTTTTTAAAGATTTTATTTATTTATTTGAGAGAGAGAGAGAGCATGAGAGGGGGGAGGGTCAGAGGGAGAAGCAGACTCCCTGCTGAGCAGGGAGCCCGATGCGGGACTCGATCCAAGGACTCCAGGATCACGACCTGAGCTGAAGGCAGTTGCTTAACTAACTGAGCCACCCAGGCGCCCCCTGTTTTTCTCTTTTAATCTTTACCCATAGGCTTTGGAAGTTGTCCTTTCCCACCCCCTTCCCCAGTTTTACCTAAGTTTTTCCCCCAAAGGCACAGCGGACAGGCACAGTACCTGTTCCCCACCAAGGCAATGGCACAGAGGTCCCCCTTCTGTACCTGCGGCAGACCAGCAGGGGGCACCACCAGGCCTGGCAGCATCAAATCTGCTCCCCCGACCACCAGAGGCCATGTTGTGAACGTTGGGAGAAGGTCAGGATAGGACCACAAGGTGTATACTGTTGGATACAGGTTTTTTTCCAGTTCAAATAGGATGGGGTTACCACCACACACGTACACAGTCACTGCATCCCCTCTGTGAGCATACAACTTCACAACGTTGAGCTCTTCCTTTCCAGGTACTAAGGCAGGGACCTGATCTCTTCCAAGAGTGGGGAAAGCAGTGGTCACATCAGCTCGAAGCTTTCTCCTGTCCGACCCCTTGATGGCCGTGTTGGACTTGACCCGAAAGGACTTGGCAAACATGTCTGCTCGAGTGGCCTGGGGAGGGGAAGGAGAGCACAGAAGCCGGGACTGTCAGGGAAACGAGAACGCGGAGGCTTCCCGACCCGCAGCCCTGAGGGCAGCCATGCTGGAGCCCAGCTGGAAAAGGGGCCCGGCCGGAAACCTGGGCCGCTCGGCTTCGCGGCTACAGGCGCTGCGGGGACCGCGGCCGGCCCCTAGTGGCAAGGCCGGGAACTCTCTTCCCAACATTCTTATCCACCATGGCTACTTCCAGAACTAACTGAATGACTGGTCAGATGGTACAAATGGAGGGAAGCTTACACAGAAACTGTGACTTGCATACTCTAGCCCCATTAGAAACATATAGCCAACCAACATATAGATTTGCGTCATATTCCCATGTGTTTTAAAAAATTCAGAGGAACCTAACAAATGTGCTTCATTTTCAGTGGTTAGATGTATGAAGGACAATGACTTGCTATCTAGAGAAGGTCTCCTGCTATACTCCAGACTATAAGATTCTTGAAAAATCCACAGATGCAGCAGATCCTTGAAAACTCATGGGATTTAGCCATTGCCTTCTGGCATACATGAGTCTTGCTAGGTTATCCAAAATATTTGCCACTTCCTCGTCACCGAATCCGATTGGTATGATGATATCAATAAGGTGGCTACCTGTGATGCTCTGTGAATGTCAGGACAGTCAAGGTTTTTGAAGACCCTATTATGACAGAAAATAGTTATAACAAGAGTTCTGTGATTATAAAAATGTACTGCCACCTTTGTGGTGTAAAAAGAAACTTCTTTTGTTCTTTCCTGATAATGAGAATTGAGAAGAAAGCATTTCTGTAGTCAGTAGCTGGATAATAATGCCCCTGGCAACTAGGAGGGTCGTCCCATACCTGGGAGCACTACCTAGGTCTGGCTCCATGCCTGAGGGGAGGCACTCTTCCTCTTTCCAATCCTTCCTGAGTTTGGCTTGTGTTTATTTCTTCTGGCCAACTCTAGACACTCTTCAGAGATGAGTCACAAAGTACAAATTTTGTAATTTTGGTGTTTCTGCATATGACTTCAGTTCTCTGCTATTGGCATTTAAAACTAGCATTGTACAATATAAGGATGGATAGAAAAATTCATGCTAATGGTTTAAAATTTTATTTTATTTTATTAAGAATGAAATTAAATAACAAATAAAAAGCACCAAAGACAAATAAAAAGTAAGACGGTGGAAGAAAAGAAAAAGCTTTGTATGTACCTTTTATAGCATTTTTTCATGCTCCTTGAAAAAGAGGCTCTGCATTCACTTTGCATTGTGCCTCACAAATCATGTAGCCAGCCCTGCCTCCAGGAGATTCTGATACATTCAAAAACTTGAGAACCACTGCTCTAACAAATCAGGGAATTAATGAGAGAGGTCTGCCAACTGTTAGCATATCTTAATTACACATTTATATCTCAGAAGATACTCACAGAGAAGGTCTATAGAACCACACTGAGACAAAACTGCATTTTCATGCAACTTCTATTGGCCCCACTCTACCCAAAAAGCCATTATGGCATTTCAATGTCACCACAAACCTCTTATCAAACAGTCCTCCGAGGTATCCAGTTTCCCTTTCTCAGTGCTCATCGATCCTAGCAAAGGCTGCAGATCCACTGAGGGAAGGATCAGAGGGAAATTTCTTGTATACACCTGTGGCGGTATACTTCTCAAGGGCTCTCATTCTCCCCCTTAAGTTAGTAGCTTCTGAATCTGTGCACCTATAGTGATCTAGAAATTGTACGGACTAGAACTTGTCATTTCAGTAGCTAATATCCACTATCTTATCCCCAGCTATCAAGTTTTCTTCCTCCTCAAAGGAAGCAATACCCTGAGGAAAAGCCCATCAGTCTCACCCCAACATACTTGAAGATCAATTCCACAGATTCTCAGGGATCTAGGAAATCTATATGACATGCAGGCCTCCCTGCTCTTTATTTTTATTATATGTGTCTTGCTTCTGATGATTAACTGCTTCCATCTAGATTCTTCCATTCTGGAATATCAATATTTCCAGTGATATTCAACTCCAGGAAGATGACAGCACCTCCCATGTCTAATTCCGGCCATCTCCACATAATGGTGCCCCCTTCAGCATCATTTTTTGGGCCCTTCCAAGAAGCATAAAATGAAGAGATTTTCAGTTCTTTTAAATAATCCATTTTATTTTATTTTTTTAAAGTATTTTTATTTATTTATTTTTGCAAGAGAGAGAGAGAGAGAGAGAACAAGCACGGGGGAGCAGCAGAGGGAGAGGGAGAAGCAGGCCCCCCGATGAGCAAGGCACCCGATGTGAAGATTCAACCCAGGACCCTGGGATCATGACCTGAGCTGAAGGCAGACGCTTAACTGACTGAGCCACCCAGGCGTCCCTAAATAATCCATTTTAATATTTCCACCTCCTTCTGACTTCTGTTGTCTTCCTCAATAATATGCTAATAAAGTTCTAGCATCTCCAACTCATTTACAGCAAGGCATAATCACCTACAGACTTCAGGGTAGCATCCACGTTCACTATTAAACTCTTAGCCAGTATACTGAATCCCAGATAATGAGGGAGTGACCAACATAAATTTTCTTCATTCCTACATTCCTCCACCCTGGCCAATATTTTTTACTTATTATTTAGTGTCTTTATTTTGTTTTGATTCCCTCAGCTGCCATGTAGTAAGACACCAGCCTTAAATACTTAAACTCTTAATCCTATGACTACTCTTAAAATAGGTCTTATAATAACATCCTAAGGCAGGCGGAAAGGGAAAAGTGAGGTAGGGGGGCTGGTGGGAGTGAGATCAGGCAGGGCCTTATGGTAGTGTTAAGTTCTCCACACATGATCCCACAAGATCCCACTTGCCCTTCTTCGACCAACACTGAGTTAAAATGTCCTGTTAAAATTATATATATATGTAATGTAATTTATATAAAAAGTTATATAGTTTTCTATCAAGCATTTTTAGATAAAAGACCACATGATTTTATCCACTTGATATGTCTTAAAGCTCTTAATACATAATGATAAATTTAAATCTTTGCTGTGACTTTCCTGTTATCACAAATTAAAAATATTTGCAACATGATTGGTCATATTACAAGTTTGGAGCTATGTGTAATGCTTTTGGTTGAATTACCATCTATCCCGATTATCACTCACCTTCTAGTAATTTTTATGGGATTCCACTAAAATTCAGGGTGGAGGAATGTAGGAATGAAGAAAATTTATTTATGTTAGCCACTCACTCATTATCTGGGATTCATGGTAGTACTTGACTCTTTTTACTGCACCTTATTTATAAAATATAATAATATTCCATGGAATTATGTTTGGCACCAACTTTCATATTTAATGCATTATATGTAAACATACATGTTGTAATGTAGTTAATGGTTCTTTTATTTGCTGAGAGATAATGGCATGCACTAAATTATTTGGCAAACTGGAGGAAAATTTATTATACACTTATATAACTACTAAGGGGATTATCCTCTTTATTCCAATTATCTTACAGAAAGTATACTCTTTCACTCATTTCCATTTTACAGTTTTCATGGGAAGAATGAAAAAAAAAAGCAAGCTATGATTGCTTTTAATTTTTACTTGATTTTTTTTGACAATGATTACAATTATGTCCACTGTTTAAAAATTTTAAACTGGGTTAAATATAAGAGAATATACTGTGCTGTGATTTTTTTTTTAAAGATTTTATTTATTTATTTGAGAGAGAGAATGAGAGAGAGAGAGCATGAGAGGGGGGAGGGTCAGAGGGAGAAGCAGACTCCCTGCCGAGCAGGGATCCCGATGCGGGACTCGATCCTGGGACTCCAGGATCATGACCTGAGCCGAAGGCAGTCGCTTAACCAACTGAGCCACCCAGGTGCCCTGTGCTGTGATTTTTAACGTGGGTTGTAAGCAGCTAGTAAATTAGCCCACCCCAAAAGGAAAATAGTCTAAATCCTTTTATTAAGCAATAAATGAATGCAAAATTATAATTAAAATTTTACATGCTTCTGTAGAGACCATTTAGACCTTACGATTGCAAAATTGTAATGTATTCTTTGATGCAGAATGCTAATGCTGTTTTTAACTGCAAACTAATCAGTGTGGTTATATAAGCAACTTCCATACTCACTCTTTCCTTTTTTTCTGCACATACTTTTTATCCCAACTGTTTGGCTATTTTAGATTATGCATATACCAGGCTTTCCTGATGAATCATTTATGCTTACAAACATAAGAACAAACGACTATATAAATACAGGTTGACAAACAATCCTTTTTGGTCTTGAAAAAATTTATTTTCTGTTAAGATAAGGGATAAGCTTCCTTTAAATTTTCTGTAAGCACAAAATGAGCACTACCTGATAAAATATACATTTTTACGCACCAAAGAAGATTCTTATAGTCAATTTTCTGCAAGATGTCCTTGCAAGGAAAACAGAAATATTATCTTGTGCTAAAATTCTGTTTTTCTAGCAAAGTTGTAGAGGATCGTTATTTTTATGTTTTTCTGGGGCATTGTAACTCCTTTAAGAAAAAGTTTATATGATCAGGTGTCCTGGACACTTGGCTGCAGTGAAAAGAAACAGCTCTGAATTCTTAGGTATGCTATTGCCTCCTGATTTAATTGGCAATGATACCATTTCTTCCTGGGCTGGCACAAATATGTGCCTCTCATAAATATTGTGCAGAGATTTTCACGTTCCTCCTAACTTTTCCATCTGCTGCCATTCTCAATGATTTCTATAAGATACCTAAAAGAAACTAAGCAAATACTGATGCAGAGCAATTTATGAAGAAAGGTGGAGGGGCAGATAGGTTTGGGCTTCATCAAGGAGTAAATGTTCCTAATATTAAATTATAAAATCAATACTACTACTTAATAATTTATGCATGCATAGGATTACACAGTTTGCAAAGCAATTCATATGTTTGGGAATGGTTAGTTACTTTTCTGTTAAACCAAAAAAAAATGGAAGCAGAACTGTTTAGCTGACTGGGCTGTATTTTTTTTTTTTTAAATTTTTTTTTATTTATTCAAAATAAAGAGAGAGAGAGAGAGACAGAGGCAGAGGGAGAAGCAGGCTCCCCGCGGAGCAGGGAGCCCGATGCAGGACTCGATCCCGGGACTCCAGGATCATGACCTGAGCCGAAGGCAGTCGCTTAACCAACTGA